ATACGTAAATTTTAACATATATATTTTAATTAAATAAATTAATACATAATATATAATAAGGGTTAAATATAAAATTTTACAAAATAAAAGATATAAATAAAAATGAAAATGTAAATTGGAGGGTAAAAAATTATAAATTTAGAAAATCAGATTTTTTTAAATGAGTGGGTCCCACACAAACTAACCTATTTCTACCAATAAAACTAAAACTAACTTATTTCTACGAAACTTTTTCAAAACCAACCCATTTTTGCAAAAAACTCGGTATACACCCATGCACACTTCCATTCAAAGATGTACATTAACTATTCGTACGCTTTACTTCAAAGAAATTAGAGGGCATAGCAAGAACTCATGGTCTCGTGCGTGTGTGTATATATATATATAGACACATATATACCTTAACTTCAAAACATACTTTTATATTATACCCTTTCAAGCCAACATTTCACTTGCTTAACTATATAATCTTCCATAAATCTCCTCCATCAACCCTTTTCATATATCGGTGTAGTGTGTAATGTTGTTATCAACGCCAGTTTCAACACTGAAATGGGCCTTCTTGATGACGATGATAACCACCATGGTAACCTCTAATCCTCCTGAAGAGCCCATTAAATGTTCAACCAATCTCACAAACTGCAACGTCACCAACTCTTATGGCGCATTCCCTGATCGAACCACCTGTCGTGCGGCCGAGGTCACATACCCTTCATCCGAACAAGACCTCATCGCAGCTGTTGCCACTGCTACACAGGCCCACAGAAAGATGAGAGTAGCCACTCGTTACTCGCACAGCATACCAAAGTTGGTTTGTCCAGCTGGTGATGATGGACTCGTTATTAGTACCGAAAAACTTAATCGTGTTATTGAAATCGATAAAGATAGCGGGCTCATGACCTTAGAGAGCGGTGTGACATTAAGGCAACTCATTGATGAAGCTTCAAAAAATGGGTTGGCCTTGCCTTACACTCCTTATTGGTGGGGTTTGACGATTGGTGGTCTTTTAGGCACGGGTGCACACGGTAGCACCCTTTGGGGCAACGGGAGCGCGGTTTATGAGTATGTTGTTCAGATGCGGATGGTCGCCCCAGGTCGGGCAGAAGATGGTTATGCTAAAGTGTGGACGCTTGAAGAAAATGGCGAGTCCGATGGAGACATGAAGGCAGCTAGAGTTTCTCTCGGAGTACTAGGAGTTATTTCTCAGGTATATATTGATTGATTAAGTTTTTACTACAAAAAACCTGGTATTTATTATGCTAAATATATCTGTTATAATAGACTGTTTTATAAAACTTAAAGTTTATAGGACCATATTAGCTTTTTATATAACATTTTTTTATGAGAGGCACATTTCTGAAATGGTGTCATCTTAATTTTAGTTTCTTGTAACATGATCGAAACATTTTATGTTATCATGAGACTTGAACCCATTAAACTATAGGTAACTTTAAGGCTGCAACCATTGTTCAAGAGGTCCATTACCTTTTTAACCAAGAACGACACAGACTTATCAGATCAAGTGACCACTTTCGGGAGACAACATGAGTTTGCAGATATAACATGGTACCCAAGTCAGAAACGAGTGGTTTATCGGATCGATGATCGAGTCTCCTCCAATGTCTCCGGAAATGGCCTCTGGGACCACCCTGGTTTTCGAGCTACGCCCTCACTTGTACTCCTCATCTTAAGATCTTCAGGTAGCAGACACCCATAAGTAACTGTACCGTCTGTGCAACTCTTGATTACATCTATGATATATACATATACATGAAGCACGGTTTTTGTGTTTAAATGTAGAGGAGGATCAAGAGGCGAAAGGTGATGTTGCTGGAAAGTGTAGTGCTGGAAAACTTACTACAGACGTTCTAATAAAGGGTGCATACGGGCTAACCAACGATGGTAAAACCTGATTTTGGTTCTATATTATGACATTTAAACGTATTTGACGTCCCATAAAACCTGATTTATTTTGTTGTAGTGATATAAGTTAGTACTTATATATGTATTGTATGGTATGTAGGTATTATCTTTAAGGGTTACCCTGTGGTTGGATATCAAAATCGGCTCCAAGCATCAGGGGGTTGCCTCAAAGGCCCTAAGGATGCTGGAATCACGGCATGTCCGTGGGATCCCCGAGTCAAAGGCTTATTCTTTCATCAGACCACATTCAGCATCGTCCTTTCGAAAGCTAAAGATTTCATCCAAGACATACAAAAGCTAGTAAATATAACACCACAATCGTTGTGTGGCCTAGACCTCTATAACGGCATTCTCATGAGATACGTCACTGGTTCATCAAAAGCTTACTTAGGCAAACAAGAAGACTCATTGGATTTTGACATCACTTATTACAGAAGTAAAGATCCAAAAAGTCCAAGACTTTTCGAAGACGTGCTCGAAGAGATTGAGCAAATGGCGGTTTTCAAGTATGGCGGGTTACCGCATTGGGGAAAGAATCGAAATGTGGCATTTGAAGGGGCAATCAAGAAGTACAGAAAGGCTAGAAAGTTTATGAAGGTTAGAGAGAAGTTTGATCCATTAGGGTTGTTCTCAAGTGAGTGGACAGATCAAGTTTTAGGACTAAAAGGTGGATTGAGCATCGTTAAGGAAGGTTGTGCCCTTGAGGGTTTGTGTGTGTGTTCAGAGGATATCCATTGTGCACCAGAAAAGGGTTATTTATGTCGATCTGGAAAAGTCTTTGAAGATGCAAGGGTTTGTACATTAGTTCATCAAGTCAAAGAAGCCGATACTTCATCATCCATAAACATTGAGATTTGATCAGTATCTTAATGTTACAGACATGAATGGTAGAAACGGGGTCGGCGACTTTAGATACATAAGCTATATATATATATATATATATATATACTCATTGTACTGTACTTCTGTTTTATTATTGGAAATTAAGCAGAAAATTGTTGCAAATCTCTTCTCTCAAGCTTAGGTTTTTCTTGGAGATCGAACATCTCGAATGGGTCTATATCTTTCTATGCCTCCCAAACGTGATCCACCATCCTTGGATGAGTCTATGGTGTAACACCCTACTTTATATATATACTAGGATGGTACTCGCACAATGTAGCGAGATATATCTCGATTTTCATGTTTCGTTTTTTATTTATTTTTTTTTGTCTCAGTCGATATTATAATACGGTTTTATCTGGTTTTAAGAAAACGATGATACTTTTATTTTTGAATAAAATATAAATATGAAAATATCATCAAAAATTGAAAAAAAAATATTGATATTAGTTCCAAACTAACTATTTGAAATTTCTCTTTTTGTGTATTTTTTTAATTAATTTTTTTATTTTTGGTTTGATAATATAATTTTTTTATAATGATAATGATCAAGTATTTTGTTAGAAGTCGATGATTATTCTAATTATATGTTAGATTTTTTATATTTAAAATGAGATATTTATCCTCTATCCGATTATGTTTATATGCAGTTAGTTACATCAATTCAAACATAAAGCTTTAATAAGTTGTACATGCGTACAATTTACTTGTAATCTTGAATTTTAAGTAATATGTATTAATAAACACTACTTCATGCATAAAAATGGTTTTTTAAAGTTTTTGTCAAATGTTTTATAATATAATATAGATATATATATATATACATACATACATATATACTATATATATGTGTACATATATACTGTATATATATATATATACACACACACATTTAGACCAATAACAAGTCTTTGTTAGATTAGGTTCTTCTATCACCATACAATTAATATTGAGGATACAATTAATGAGCGGTTACAAAAACATCAATCACATGATTATAGTTAAAATAATATGTTTATTTTTATTTTTTCCAAATTATAGATGACTTGTTATTTTAATATGATAAGAAACTTGAATGTTCTATCTTCAACATATATGTAGTCACCAACGTTCATATGGTGTATATATTGTTCATATGGGTTCCAATGTGTTCATAAAACAGTGTCTATATACATTTAACATTTGGTCAATATGTGTCTACAAGCGAAACACTTCGATCATATATTATTGTGTTCACATGTGAAAACCAATTACTTTAGTATTCATAAGTTTTAATAGGTGCAAATAAGTGTTCATAAATGTTTCCTATATATGTTCATATGTGAAAGCCACGAACTAAGATTAGTTAATAAATTACATATATTTTCATATGTATTCATAATGCAACACAGATGATCCTACGAACTATAAAAGGAACGAGCAATTACCGATTTGTAACCGATATAATTAATTAATTATCGATTTGTAACTGATTTGAACCTCCCAAAAATACCCTTGTTTACCTACGTTCTGATATATTCTTCATCTTTAATTAATTACAAATAAGCCACAATTGATCTCATCCATAAATTGTAACAATCAAGAACCAAGATTGGTTCACAAAGTTAACATCAATTATTGGGTTAATAAAAGAACATGCCTCTATATATATAGGGGCACGTTCAAATGAAAACTGTGCATTTCTAAAAAACCGTGTAAACCAATTTCGACCAACAGAAAAATTCTTTTTTTTCTAATTAAATTTAATCAATAAGGGTATTTCGGTTATTTACAATATTTTCTATTAAATATGGAAGTTATTAATAAATCTTTATTAAAGAAACGTAATAAAGGAAATTGTATAAATGGTAACATTTAAATATTAAAAATTTTGGATTTCATATGTCATGAGTTATGATCAGGAAACGTGTCTTGATGAAACAATTGAATTATAGAATGAAATCATCAAAACGTAGATGAACAAAAAAAATCCACAAAATGAAACAAGTTTCATGAACGTGAAACCGGTTCATGTTGCAAAGAAATTAGGTGAACCGAAACATTTTTATGGTGAACTCGTTGCATTGAGGGTGTAGTTAATCCTTTTTTTTATGAGAAGCAAAATGAAACCGGTGCATTTTGAAAAAAATTATGAAACGGAAAATGAAACAGGTTTCATGAACGTGAAACCGGTTCATGTTGCAAATAAATTAGGTGAACGAAAACATTTTTATGGTGAAACCGTTGCATTGATGGTGTAGTTGATCCATTTTGTTGATGAAAAGGAAAATGAAACCGGTGCATTTTGAAAATAAATTATGAAAAGGAAAATGAAACAGGTTTCATGAACGTGAAACCGGGTCTTGTTGCAAATAAATTGTGTGAACCGAAACATTTTCATGGTGAACCCGTTGCATTGATGATGTAGTTGAGCGATTTTGTATTTCGCTCGTCATTAACGAAGTGCTTGATGAAACGGGGAAATGATTTTAATCTGCTACATAATCTTGAAGATTGTAACCTGCTCCAGAATCTTCAAGATTGTAAGGACTAAAGGAATGATTCCATCAAAGCGGTGGTGAAATAAGAAAATTACTGTACATGAAATAGGACATTAAATACTACTTACAAATACCTAAAGCAAAAGCATGTATTAGCACCGTGCACATTAAATACCACTTACAAACATATATCAAATGGGTTGATATTAATTAATTTACCGAATATTTTGAACTAATCTTCAGTCCCAAACGATAGGTAGTCAAAAACACTGTATCAACCAATAGTGTTACCTATTAATGGTTACAAAATCCATGGACGGACCTAGTATAGGGCATACGGTGGCACGTGCCACCGTATTATTTTTCCGTCAAAGGGTAGAAAATTTAGGTTCATGAAAGGTGCAATCGTATTAATTTGTTGTGTGTCACTGTATATATTTTGAAACTAAAATAAGAGAAACTAAAATAAGAAAAAGTTTTATTTGGTAGAATTGGTCTTCAAAGCTTTTATTCCATCCTAGACCCAAGTTCGAATCTTGTTAGTCCCTTCCTGACACCGTTAATAAAACCCTATGATCTTGATCCTGGGATACATGTCAAAAAATAAAAACAAATCATGCTTCATGACTGGTGAATTCAAGAGTTTATATAATAAAAATGTTACACTAAAAATCAAATTGATCCAAGAATTCCAAAATAATGCATGATTTGTGAACATTGGTAATATGCAAACCAACACATTACTTTAATCGAAATCGATAAAAGATGTGGTTATAAATTTCAAAACGAGGTAAAAACCATTGCTCCATGTGTGAGAGACTCACAACATAACCAGAATCAGTGAAGCGGCACTATTTAGCAGTCCACTTATCCATTAGGCTAATTTCGGCATAATTACCATGTGCATGTTGTGTCCTATAGACACTATGCCTATTAGTTGAGTATCTGGCATTCATTCGTGCATGGTACTCCAATATAACACCGACGAGAGCAACCCATCAACTAAAAAGGGAGCAACCCCAATACAAACGCGCAACCAAGAGGGGACCCTAAGGCACCAGATCCAGATCTAATACATCATTGTCAGAGCACCTCAAAAGGTCTCAATTATACAAAGTACGTTTCCTAATAGTTTAAATCAATAATATGCAAAATGAACATCAAGTTTCAATGCATCAAAGTGCATTCTGTATAGTTCTTCAAAATATTTTAGCATGCTCATTTCATCTTCAAATTACTTTGTATACAATATAAATAACTACATTTCATAAAACCAATTAAATCATGCATTTTTTCCACGACACCCATTTAAACACAAGCAACATGAATCAGTTATGTAAACTACAGAACGTGTACCCAATTTTAAGACTATTTGAACTCACTTTAATTTTATCAAGTCAAATCCAATCTCCAAGTGGCTTATACAACTTGTCTCAACACCTAAACAAATCAATATGTGGTCTATATCAATACAAACACTATAACAAGACATTCAAACAACTCCTTCTAACCATTAAGAACCGCTCTAAATGGTTTTAGACCCAATTTTATACAAATTTATAAATATTCATTCTCCTTTTACAGTCTAAAAAATGGCCAGCTCTAAAAAGTCTATTTTTGACCCACTCAAAGTATGATTTACAACATATTCATCTAAAAGTAATTTGTTGTAGACATCCTAAGGATTTCTTGGTACATACTTAAAGCCCTTGGCAGAATCAAAGACTAGCCGATGTGAAGCCAGAAGGTCAGCGATGCGGTACTGTGGATCAAATATCTAAATTACACACCAAGACTTCAAAGTAGTTGATTTGAAGATTGAAGATGTTTGAAGCTACTAGCCGATTGAAGAAAGATCTTCATGCACCGAGATTTGTAAGCAGCTGTTTGAAGCTACTAATCCATCCAAAAAAGATCTTCCTACAGACTGACAATATATCTCCAAAACATGTACCTAATAAAGACATTACTTATCAGTAGGTTTGTCTGTGCATGAACAATGTTGTGTGCACACAATGTACGATAAAAATGATATATCAACTATGGTCAAGTCGACCCCTTCCTTCTTATCCTAAGGTGACAAGTGTCCCAATGCATTTAATGCATGAAGGTAGTATTAAAAGCAGAGTGCATCTCCCATGCAAACCACACTTCCCTGAAAGAATTTCTAAGTGGATTCTCAAGGCAATCGACTCTCTTCTACTACTCTCCTACTCTCATGTGTGTGAAGAAAAACCTTAGTGTTCTTCATTTCCTTCCAAGTACTCTTGTAAGTTCTTCTTTATATAAGAGTGTTTAGGTTATGTTATTATTTACTTCTTCGCAACAATTTGTACTGTATCTCTGTATGTTAATTCTTGATATACATTAATAAAAATTAAAAAAATTAAAAAAAATTTGTGTAATTGTATTCAAACCCCCCCCCCCCTTCTACAATTACTTTCTGATTGACATCCCATTCAGGACCAACAAGTTGCATCATTGCATTTTATACATGGACTGCTATAAAAGGCGATATCTAGATCATATGCAACTTGCCCCTTTTGAAGAATAGTCAAGTAGTTTTTCTTTTAGATTGGTGTCATGATATCTGACCATCCAGATGCTTATGGGGCAGAACAGACTGATATGTCAATTCTGCCTAAAAATATCTTAAGGTGAACAAGACTATCTTAGTTCTTCATATTTGAAAGAGAACTTTCTTTTCTTTTTCTCTTTTAGTTTAACAAATTTATCATCAGTCAGATAGTTTAGGATCATAGGTCTTATCTTTCTAGCTTCCGCAACATATCTATAATTCTTTGTTTTAAAGTAAAATATAGAGAAAAAATTATATGTCATTAACCCTAAAAAGGACCAACAAATACATTACTGATGAATTAAAGCCGTCGTTATATTTAGAATTAAATTTTTGTAGTTAAATTTTTTTTTTTGTGAGTACAGTTTGGTAACATTAATTGTTTACTGACTAATATTATCACAACGACAATTTATTTATACTTTTTGTCTAAATTTGTTTTAATTTCTTTATATATGCCGGTGATATTTTTTCATTTTACTACTAAACATTAGATTTTTACTGACGAATTTTTGTTAAAAAATCAACAGTGAATTTCAGCCGGATAGAAAAAATCAAATTTTTGTTGACTTTCGTCACAAATCTACCTCATATTCAAAAAAAAAAATCGATTATATTTATGGCGGGTTTATTTATTATTGAAAATAATTAGCATCAGATTTGTCTAATTAAAAAACTAATATTAATTAGTGGAGAATTTGTGGCAGGTTTTAATTAAATCGATTAAATTAATTGGAAAAAATATTAGTAGCGGATTTATGACCTTTTTTGGGGCAAGACTTTGACAGAACGGCAAATCCACCAGAAAACCCATTTTTCGATGGATTTTTCTGCCCGTAAAAGCCTCATATTTAATGGTGTTTCGAATTTCTAGATGGATAATAATGAGCCTTGTTGGATATGATAGGTTTTGGTTTAGGTATTTTCGACGTAATCTCTCTTTCTACCGATGGTTTTTTTACGTAAAAAATTATGGTGTCACTTTCTTCGTCTCTTTAATCTTTGTTTCATTGTGGTTGAAACTTTGTAAATTTTGTATGAACTTACTTTACACCGAATAACGTCTATAAAAGTCATAGAACTTCATTAACAAGATTGTTAAATACGAAAGAATAAATTGTTAATCATCAAAACAAGATAAATATGAAATGTAAATACGAGCAATTCCAATATTTTATGTTTACACCAATCAACAATAGAATAAGAAAAATGTTACAAATAATTCAGTGATCAGAAACAAAGCATGAGAACAACTTCTGGATGAAGGTTTTCGAAGTTTTCCGATGAGACGATGACTCTCCATCACACACGATGTACGAGTCGTCTTTCCCATCTCTCTTGGCAATTTCGCAATCATCGCAGAATTTCTTGAAAGCGGCTCCTACATATTCCACAGCTTCGTTAACCTTCATGTTTTCTACTAACTCGTCAGGATAAATGCTCTCTTTATGGTCCCCTTTCAATACCGCGCCTAATTGAACCAATTCCTCTTGAAATTCCGTTAAATTTGCATCTTCGTTTGCTTCTTCGTGTCTCATTTTCTCGGGCTCGGGTAAGGTAACTGTTAGCTCAAACAAATAAACACCGGTCAACGTAGAATAACAAGTAATAATCTCCAAACAATACCATCAAACTCAATTCAGCAAGCTCAGTCGAAATGAAGCACCAAGCTCAGCCGAAATGAAGCAATCAAATGCTTGGAAAAAACCCTGGTGACCAATTAAAGGGACTTTGACCTAGCGGTACATATCTTTTAACCCCTACCTTCCGATTAGAGTTCAAGGCTTCAAGTCCAACTAAAGGTGAGAAGTATGTGCACATTTAATTTGCCATACATAAATATCACATATTTAAAAAATGCACTAGTGCCTAACAACTCTAACCGATTAATTAGTCCATGCTAAACATCCGTTTTATATGAATCAGACAAATCTTAGACCTTTCGTGCAATGGGCATTACTCTCATGAACTGTTTCTTGTGTTCGGGTAAGTGTTTGATAAACGGCCCCTAAGTTTTATTAAGCAATCTATTATGAAAGTTATACATGGTTTGGCGTTGAACACAATAAACTATATTCGAGTATATATACTTACGTGGGCAATCTGTTCTTGGGGTGGTTCTAGTGAGTATACCCTCAAAAGTTCCTGCCCACTCGTCTCGTTTTGTCAAAAATTCTTTCAGGTCGAAGATCTTCTTAACGGTTGCTGGAATCGAAGAATGCTCGAACTGAGACGATGGAAACGGTCCCGAAGGCCCATGCAACACTGACAATAATATTGCATTCAAGTAAAACGTTAGAATTTAGAAATATATATTCAGTAATAAGAAGTCGATATTCAGATACTTGAATAAGATCTGACATACCAGTTCCTCGTTCGATCCAAGGAGAAATCAAGATCGCTGGAACCCTAACTCCAAGACGATCAAAACGGAAATTGTATGGTGGTTGACCCACAACGCCATCTGGGCTCGGGACATCTACGACCGGGGTGGGGACATGATCGTAGAAACCACCATGCTCATCGTAGATGACTACAAACAAGATTTCATTCCACTGCGGACTCGATCTCAATGCCTCATATACTTCTTTCACAAACTTTTGGCCTTCTGATACGTCGTGAGAAGGGTGGTCGTCGTTTCCTGGCAAAAATTTCAGGTCGAAATACCTTTGTTCGACAACAACGTAATTTGGTAGCTTTCCTTCCTTGCAGTGCCGTTTGAAGTCAAGATCGAACTGATGAAACTTGTTTATGTACTTGAGTTTTCTTAGATTCCTGTCAAATAATAAAGTTTTAGCAAAAAAAAAGATTTCTTGAAAGGTATAAAGACGTCACTCTCTTCCAAGATTACAATCAATTTCTGAAATTCAAACCTAAAGAAAAGTGTTGCTGGAGGGTATTGATAGTAAATCCCGAAAGACAAACCACTTTCATCTAATGACTCAAATATGGTTTTCTGTGGGAACCCTTCAATCAACTTGTGCGTATCGTTGCTTATCGCACCATGTGAAGTGGCAGAGTGAACATATAACCGGTTAGGTTGAGTTGACGCAGGCACCGAAGCAAACCACCGATCACAAACTGCAAACTCCATCACCAAATCTCTATAAACCGGAACATCATCTGGCTTAAAACCCGACATTACGATCTTCGATAACCCTGGATCTACGCTTTCCGCTTGTTGTGCAAAACCCTCCATGGTTGGAGGGATTGGAGAGGATGATGATTCTTGGCTCCATGGCTCACCAAAAACTTGCTCATAAACGGCCTGGAAGGAGTGGCCAGGGTCAGGTTGGATGTAGCCTGACTCATTGCTTTGATAGAGCCGGCCGGAGTTGGGGTTGGTGGTGGAAATGGGGTTGGATTCTTTTCCGGTGACACCGTCGATTTCAGGGTTGAGAGATTTCATCCATCCTAGCATGTGATCAAATGATCGATTTTCTTGCACTAATATTACAATCGTTTTAACGGGACTCGCCATTTTTTCTTGAAGAAATTGCAAGGTAAAAATACTACAAGATCATGTTGTGAACTCTCTTGAGCTATATAAATAGATGGGAAATATCTAGTTCATATGTAGCTCTGCATGTGATGTGTAAACACAAAACACTATTGTTTGTGTTTTTTAAAGTAACGTAATATTTTAAGTTTTTGTTAGATTTAACGTTGCGTTTGTTGGTTTATAAAGAAATTATAACGTTACTGTTTAAGATCTTAGATTTAGGGGCCGTTTACTAAACACTTACCCGGTAAGTGCTTACCGGTAAAAATTAACACTATTATTCACTTAACGGGTTAAATTTTAGTCCACCAAAACGTCATCGTATACAACAATTTACCTGGTAAGCACTTACTGTGGTAAGAGTCGTTACCCTCACTTACCGGGTAAGACTATTGGTCCTTATCTTGTTCTTACCGGATAAGCTTATTAGTCATTACCATATCCATCTACTAATATAATATGATTTGGTAAATACTTACCCGAATAATCAAGTGTTTCCCTTATTGTTTAATATTAGTTTCAGCTTTCACATCTTTAATGTCATTACAATTTAAAACTTTCTGATATCTAAATTTATAGTTTTTATCATCAATATCAATACTATTTGTATTTTTTTTATTCACCATTATATATATATGGGTTATTATATAATCCTTCACATTTATATAACTCAATCTCAACCGTTCATTTAATTTGATAAATGTGTAATTTCATAGAAGTTTTGATTGTTTCGTAATATAAAATATTAATCATAATTAATAAACCGTATTCATTTTCCATAAATATTTAAATCATAATAAATGAACTTTCATCATTTCCATAAATATTTCAATTTATTATGTTGCATTGGTTGTACAAATGCACAAGGTTGTAAAAGAAATATACCCTATATATATATATAGGGGCTAGTTCAAATGCTAACCAAGATTATCGTGTTAACTTTATTAACCGATCTTGACCGTTAATTTGAATAATAAACGGTTGTGATTTAATGATATTTAAAAATTAATTATTAAATTAATATTTTCAATTAACATATGTGAACAAAATATCAAAGGGTATTTAGGTAAAAAGTAATTTATCTTTGATACACGAGTTGTCAGACATATGAACAACTTGTGTATATCTTCAAACCACATCAAACAAAAAAGATTAGACATATGAACAATATATGAACCATATGAACATCTTCTGTATATTTATGAGTCAACTTTGTTGTATGTACATGAACACCTATGAACCAAGGCACCTAGGGTTGTGTGTTTTCATACGTGTTTACATGTTTTTACATGTTCTCTGTGTGTGTCTGTGTGTATGTATTCATATGAACATATAGTGACTTGAATATACATGAACACTTATGAATCACGACATCTAAGGTTGTGTGATTTCTGATGTGTTCATATATCAAAGGTGAGAACTGTAGATTAAAATAAATGTGAATTATAGAATATGAACACGTGTGAAACCCCAATGTCAATATTGCATCATGATCAATTGTGATATTTTCAAATTTGTAACTTTCATTTAATTATTTGGGAGTTACATAAAATGACAAATTACTTAAATACCATTGTATTTAATATATGAGTTACATTTGAACCAAAAGAAAATATGGGAATATGATTGGTTGAGCTTGGTTAACATAGTTAACACAAAAAAATTGGTTAGTATTTGAACCAAGCGCTCTCTTTATATTTATATTTATATATATATATATATATATATATGTATGTATGTATATGTATGTATGTGTGTGTGTGTTTTTTTTAGTAGTAGAATGGAAGGTAATTGTTTAAGAGGTTATCTATTTTTAGAAGCAATTATAAGGTGTTTGCTATGATGTTACGTAAAAGAAACTAAAAAGGTCAATGCAATTTTAGAAGCAATAATATGCCATTAAGTATATTCCTGTAAATTATTTGACTTATCTCATTCCTTAGCTTGACAGATTTGTGATCATGCAAAGAAATCGTGGAATGCTAAAAGGTGGCTTTTTTAGAACAAGTTTAAGTCAAATAGCAATAATTTAAGCTAGCTGGTTTTCTCAAAATACGTTAAGACACATCAGTTGACTGGACATTTAGAAGTAAAACACTGTTTCAATGCGAACCTGCAGAAATGTACATAAACAAGAGACGTAAAAAACCTTTTAGTATACGTTCAATATTTATATATTACTAAATGTTATTGTGTGAGTAATAATGATAATTGTAACGTATATTTTTGGAAATTTGGTAAACATTTAATTTGCATATCAATGCACGTGCCCGATTAAATCTTATGGTGATTTTTTTTAATCGTTTATGTATTTTAAATATATTTTATTTTGAAAATATAAACTACGTCAGGTCACATGTGAAAAGTTGTCATTACAAGATATCGATATTCAATAACTTAACTTAATAATAGATCGGTTTTTGTTTTGTCTTAATTGGTCTCTTTTCGTAAGTATTTGATCATTTTTATGAATTTTTTCAAAGAATGCACGAATAACTTTATAAAACTCAATATGCTTGTAACGTTGTCCTGTTTTAAAGAGAATTCTTTTACGGCATAAATTTTCTATAACTTACTAGTTTTAACACTTCACTGTTGGGTAATTTCGCATTCGTCAATTCAATCAAGAACAGATATTTTATCCGACTTGCAAGATGGATAATTTCCAATGTCTAAGTACGTAACAGTTAGCATGTAGCTCACGGATTATCAGGTATTACTGTCTTAAATTCTCTTATCAAAATATAGAGTGTGAATCAAACTTATGTTGAAATTGAAATTGAAATTGAGATATCGATACAATTTTTTTCTTTCTAGATTAAATAGAATAAAAGAAATAATGATTATCTATAGAAAAATACGAAAATGAATGGCCATAAAACAAAAATCTACAAATAAAACGAAAATTGTAATTATAAAAGTCCAATATATACAAACACACACATATATGTGTAATGTTTCTACAAATTGAGAAAAGTGGTCCAACGTGATATATTTAAGATTTTAGGAGTATGAAATGATTGATGATGAAAAAAGAATTATGAGTAGAAAAATAACATATTCAAGGTTAGAGAAAAATTTTTATATATCAAAGTATCAACCCAACCAACTCATACGGTTTGGGTTAAGTTGGGTTGCATTTTGGTCTGTATTGAGATTTTTCAAACTGCAAACATTGGGTTGGATTATTCAAATGCTTTCAACATAATCAATACAACCCATGAGCACCCTTAGGCAGGGCCGACCCAAGGGTTGGGCGACTTGGGCAACGGCCCAGGGGATCAGAAGCCCCAGAGGCATCATTTCACTTGTTGGGCCCGACCTGCCATATTATTACCAAAAACACTTACGAAAAGTTGCAGGTAAAAGATTCGAACTCATGACCTCAACAATAGCATCAATGGACGCTACCATTGCGTGTTCTTAAAATTGTTTTTTTTTTACTCTCGTTTTATGCCAACTTATGTTTATTTGAAACGAAATTAATTACATTCAACAATTAATTGTTTTGAAAAAAAAAACATCGATAATATTTGAAATCTTCTTATTCTTATTCTATGTATGGTTTTGTCAAATATGTTTATATGGACAATAGAGAAAGTTATCTTTTGTTGTTGCATCTCTTGTACATGCATGTTCAAGTTTGTTTCTAGTTTTAGTAAAATGATATAAATATGCTACAAAATGACTATTTTAATCTGTGTTTGATATTCGACTATTTGAGCATAAGATGCAATTATACAAGCAATCAATGTAAAATGTTTTCTAAATATATAATATTTGTATACGGCAATTGCAACAAAAGAATTCATACACCCTCCTCATCTTTGCTGAGGTTTGAACCTCTAACTTCAAGGAAGGCCAAAAGTTCGAATACAACTTAGCCAAAGTCTCTTTTGGTAATCAACGTAAAATGTTCATGTTTTAGGTTCTACCATATACTAATGTACTTTATTTTCGATTTATTTTAAATGGTTCTTTGCAAGGCCGTCCTTGGGGGAGGGCAGTACGGGCTAGAGATGGCCATTTGTAACCGGCCCAGCCCGTAACCGACGGAGGCCCAGAATCGAGCCCGACTCATAACCGTAACCGACCGGGACCGGCCATAACCGGTTAAGGACTGGTGGTTACGAACCGGTTAGGATAATTCGCGATTTTTTGGACCGGAAACGGTTACGCAACCGGTTATGGGCCCGGCCCGGCCCGGCCCGGTCAACGAAAAAGTCAA